TTTGTTCAAATGAATGACCTTGACCAACTTTCAAGGTCACAGGTGTCAAATGTCTTAAAATCTTCAAACAACTTCTTCTTAATAACCAAAAGGCCCAGGGTACTGATATTTGGCCTGTAGCAATCAGGGCTACCAAATTTGTTCAAATGAAGGACCTTGACCCACTTTCAACCTAATGTCATTGTTTGACATTCAAGGTCACACTGATATTCTGCCTGTAGCTGTATTTTAGTCCACTTTTAAGTTTACAAGTGTGAGATTAATACCAGGTGAGCGATGCAGGCCCATTGGGCCTCTTGTTTAAAGTACAAAGTTCAGCCTAGCTACCTACCCTAATTATTTTGAAAGCCTAAAGCAGAAACACAACAGTTATTTTCTTAGCCTTGCTTTGATATATTTTTGTTTGCATCAACTGTTATTTCTCATTATTAAATCCCAATTTTCTTAATTAAAATGTAGCAATTTACCATTCTACCATTGATCTTCCTCAAACAAAAGACACCTGTGAAAAACTATCAGCCCATGTGTTCTGACCGTGCGTTAGAACAGTAAGTCTAGCTTTGTTATACTAGATAAGATTAGTGTTTTGTGGCCCCCAGCTGACTCGGAATAAGATTTGAGATGAACTGGAGTATTCACACACATGATAAAGGCCTATAACTCAGGCCTGCAGGCTGACTCCTCATACACATCACTGACAAGCTATCCATGTTTAATCATCAGCACTGCTAGCTGTGATAGAAAAAACAATCTGTAAAAACAAAACCCATGCTAAAAGTGGACTGATTTATAATTTTCTTCAGCGAAGTATACACACACATTTCCTGTTTTGAATTAGGCAACTGTAATAGGGTTGGAGATAATGTCTCAGATTATCACACCTGCAGATTTGTGGCTGTTAATATTCCAGTATGGACATGCCCTTGTAGACAACTATTGTATTAAGGCAGTGAGTATCACTGCATCATTTAAAATTGCTAAGAAGAGTTTCACTCAAGAGTTTTTTCGACTTGGGAGTAGTCTCCCTTCTATATATTAGATGGAACTGTCAAACAACCAAAAGCAGTTTTTATGGCTTAGAGTAACTTCCCCTGTCAAGTTTTTCATTTGCTTTGTGGCCCATAAATTGGACATTTATTTTGATGCTGTGCTTGTGTAATTCTTGTATGACAACATTGGTTAAGAGTAGGAAATTCAGTGAAAAAGTCCCTAGTTAGACCCATACAGCTCTTTTTTTATATCTTTTAAAATATATAATAATAATATTGTTATAATAATACTGGACGCGGCAGTATGCCTATACATCCAGATCAACTATTCTGACATCCTGACGACAGATAAGTTCATTGTTGTCAATTTCAGAATTATAAAGACTTTCTGATTGTCCCCAGTACTTATCTAGCCGAGCTTATTGTCCTCTGGTTCTTTTGTTATTGTTTTAAGTTAAGACTTCGTCTGTAACTGTGCTATCATAACCTCCAGGTGTCAGTTTGTATACTTGTATCATATCTCCTTGAAGTCTCCTATGCTGGAGAGATGACTGTTTATTATTATTTCTATTTTCAAACATTCAAATTTCAAACTAAATTGTACTAAAATTCTATAAAATGTAAAACAAAATTTGATTTATATGGAACATACATTTCACAGTAGTGACAATGATAATGATATTGTTTAACTTATTCACCCCTGAAGACACATTTGAACTGTTCCAATTTAAATGTTGGAATATTTCATTATGAATTTTCAGGGGTGGGTAAGTTAACCTGTTGATATCCTTTACCATAATACAGAGCCTCCTAAAGATTTCAAAAACTTTCATTAATTTTTCAGAAATTCTTCATAGAATTGAGGCCCCAATCACCTCGCATTCACTTGTTTTATGGCTAAAGACGGCAAAAGACGTTTTTCTAAAAAAGAAACAACTTATTTTGGGGATTTAAAAAGTAATGGAAAGGGTTATCTTATTTAAAAGTTGAAAGGAAAATCACTGCATTTATTAAAACATTAAAGATAAGACAAGTACATAAATAAAAAAATAAAAAAGTAGATATACAGGCTTGTGTATCGTGACATGAGTTGAATGATGTTGAGATGAGACACACCAGGTTTCACCAGGTGAAGAGGGGATGATGACCTATGACCCTATTTGTATGTTATTTAGATCTGTTGACTTATCAATGCTATGCTATGTCCTGCTATCTCCTACCAGGTGGGATATGTGGTACTAAGTTTACACTAACAGTCTGCAATCTGTCTACCAAGTCATAAATAACCTTTCTTATTTAGAGGAGAATTTAAAACATTCTGTAATAGATTGCACATTGTATATTTTTTATTTCTTTCATGGCTGTTTTGGGAAAAGTCCTGACTGTTGTCCCTAGGTGCTGTATTAAACTTTTGCGCTTGACCTAGAATTGTTTCAACTAACAATCCTCCTATACTATAGTGATGGGCAATCTGTTTAAAATTATAATCAATAATCATTTTGTAATCAAAAGTAGTAAATCGACTGATGATCAATTGCATGATCAGTATGTTATTTTATTGGAGTGAATACCTAATCAAAGTGGGAACACGACTGTATCATCAATACAAGAATGAAGGACTTTCAATGCAGACATTAAATTGTATACATTTGACTCTTCAATTTCAATAATGAGCCGAGTATATCGATTATGGAATTTGTAATGGATGCTCAGAATCAGAAAGCTTTGATTAGTTGGAGTTATACACAGTTTTGATTGGTTGTAGTAATGCAAAGCTTTGATTGGTTGGAATAATACAAAGCTTTGATTGGTTGGAGTAATACAAAGCTTTGACTGGCTGGAGTTATACACAGCTTTGATTGGTTGGAGTAGTATAAAGATTTGATTGGTTGGAGTTATACACAGTTTTGATTGGTTGTAGTAATGCAAAGCTTTGATTGGTTGAAGTAATACAAAGCATTGATTGGTTGGAGTAGTATAAAGCTTTGATTGTTTGGAGTTATAAAAAGCTTTGATTGGTTGGAGTTATACAAAGCTTTGATTGGTTGGAGTAATACAAAGCATTGATTGGTTGGAGTTATACAAAGCTTTGATTGGTTGGAGTTATACACAGCATTGATTGTAGGATACAGATCCATCTTTCTGTGAAAATCCTTAAAGTACACTGCCATTAAATCGCCCTGTATACAGTTTTCAAGATCATTTAGCAATGTATCTCACATAGACAGTATTTTGAAAAACCGACGGTAATATGCCAAACGTTAAATCTATTAAATTCAAAATATATGTTTTTTGGCAACATATCCTGCTTTTATATTTGGCCTATATTCATATTAAATAAAGATGAAATGTTTTAAATACCACCCATAAATACTCGGGTCATTTAGTCGCGGAGAATCAAAAGGAATGTTAGTGTTTCAAGTCTTTAGAAGAGATTAGAGCGTGAGTCATGCACGTAAAACAACTTCTCTTTGGTAATGGCCTTGACTCTTGGCTGTCATTTCGGGGATCAGTAAGTGTTTTCATTTCAATGGATAAGTTGTAATTCTTTTTAAATTAAATGTAGTTTAACTATCTCTTTCCAGCATCTGCCGTTCCCGAGATGATGGTATGGTGCGGTGATGTAGGGCTGCACAGCTGCAGGTTTGTAATAGAGCTTGTACCTTAATCCTTATACCGTATTTACTCTTGATTAACCCATGTTATACACCAGTCATATAAACTCATTCACCTCGGAAATTTCATAATGAACTATTCCAACCTTTGAATTGGAAAGGTTCAAATGTGTCTTCAGGGGTGAATGAGTTAGGAGATACATTTAGGCTGTTATATGACTTTCTATTTCATTTTAGATTTATGAAACAATAACAAGACATTTGAAATTTCTGAAGTCTAAAATTTTACCTTTGATTGAGACTTGGTATCTATGGTCTCCAATGTAACATCATCAGGCCTGACATTTAAGAATCTTCCCCCCTCGGGTTGAGATTCCCCTATCTCACCCCCAAGGGAGTGAGAGATTCTATTAGTCTCCAATGTAACATCATCAGGCCTGACATTTAAGAATCTGATCCCTAGGGTTGAGATTTTGCTGTCTCACCCTCAATGTTGGGAAACACTGTTAATCTATCAAGATCATATGTGTTGACAAATCGACTGTCTGTTCAGTTTGCCTAGTTTATAAAGAAAGATCCTGTTTTTTTATGTGAATTGGGAAAAGACCCGCATTATGTCAATTTGGAAGAATCATAGAATTATAACCTCAGTGTGTCGATAAAAACCAGCATGCAACACTGGCCTTCTTAGATCATTTTTCTTCAAAACATTTATAAAAGGTTATAAAGCTTTCTTATTTCTTAGTTATCACGGTCATACATTTAAAAAAAAATGGGAAATATGAACAAATGTCAGGAAAAATAGCACCATTGCCTTTTGGAATGAATGTGAATTTCAGCCCCAGAATTTAATGGAATCAGATAAAGCCATGAGGACATCTTTATTGAGACTACTTTCGTAATTTGTCTAGAAATCTGATCAGATTACTCAATTTTAGAGATGACCACATTGTAGAGAAAGTATCTGCTCCCAAAAAACTACCAGTCTGAGATAATTATTATTATAATACAGATATCGGATCACAAGTCTGCAGAGGACTGCAACAGTACCGAGATCTAAAGATCCGATTTTTGTCTAGGTAGATGAAGGCCTATTGGCCATTCCCTGACAAAAAGGAGTGCTATTTTTATCAAATACTGGTTTTACTGTACCCAATATATAGGGCTAATTGGATAAACATAACAAAATAGTAAAAAAAAAATGTTTTTAATATATACCATGTCAGAAATATGTAATAAATCATATAGGATCAACTTGTTTACTGTTTCCATCTGTTTACAGATTTGTCATGTACTAAATCTGTTTCCTGCTGTCAGTCAAATTTGTATGGACTTAATTTGACCTGTCAATCAAAATTACAAAGTGGTCAGTTTATCAATTTTTTTGTTTCTCCTTTTCTGTAACAGCTGGTGTCCATTATGAAGGAAGAGGAGGTCAACTCAAGGTCATTAGCAATGAAGATCAATACTCGGTTCATTAGTGTTCAAGATTATACAGTGGTCAAGATGTGAAATATCTCATTGTCCATTGTCTGTGGGAGGCACTCAGCATCTTAAAGGTAATTTTATAGAATTCTTCGTTGATATTTTGCATGGTGCTCCATTGATTATGTATGATTTAGTGTGCATTCAGCTAGTGCTCCTTATGATGGCTTTAAAAGTTTTCATCATCCGTATGATTGGATTTACTTTGTCTCAGCTGTTATTTAAGTTTGGAGAAGCTGCTTCTTGCCCATGTCTCGATCTGTTATTATGTTGTTCATGTCTCTGTGGGTGTCTGCATATTTCATGTGTCTGTCTGTCTGTCCATCTTTCCATGTGGGGGCGTGGGGGCCGAGTGGTTAAGGTGTCTGACCGTCTACGATCGCGCTAACCCTCCACCAATAGAACGCTGATTCGACCCCTACGCATTGCAATCAGAAGGTACTGGACGCAGGTCGGTGTTTTTTCTCCAGGTTTAGGTACTCTAGCGTTCCTCCTGGCACATCCTTAAATGACCATAGCTGTTAATAGATGGTAAAACACAGACAAACCTATCCATATGTATCATATGTATGTTCAAATGTTAAGTCAAAATCACTTCAATGCTTGCCTGTAGGGTGAACCCCCTCCCCCCCTCTACCTTTTTTGTGTAAATATCCATACAAAATCTACCTGCTGTTGTACTAATACATGTCAAGTTGACTGATGGAATGCAGTCGTCACTGATGGGCCAGTCCTAATGTGTACACATTTCAGCATTGGGAATAAGACAACATGTGTGATTAATTTATGCTCTATTCAGGACCACAGCCAAAATATATTTTTGATTAATAATTTAATCACCAGATCTGCTGGGGATGGTAACCGGAGCCAAAAATACACAAGGTAATTGTTTGTAGAATATCTAGGTTGTTATGTTTCTAAACAGTTTCCATTGATAACACGTGTCTGTGCAGACACTAGCAGAACTATTCTGATACTTCATCAAGTTCATGGCTTTGCACTCCAGTCAGCACCAACAGGAGTCTGGTAATGTTCAAAACATGGTTAGCTTGACATCAGGTTAAAGTTAAACGTTCATCTAGAAATAATATTAAAAACTATCAAAATTCATAACTAAAGTTGCATATTTGGGGATTTTAAATCATTATATAGATGCATGAAACAGAAAACAAATCTGAAATCGGAATTAATTTTTCAGTAATATGGTTTTAAAGATGATTAGAATTGAAGATAAAATTCATTAAAGCTAATCGGGCTTTAAATGGTTTGGTTCTGGGTGATGACTTTTATCAGCTTAATAGGCAATTTAGTCAAATTTTCAAAAATGATATTTCTTTGAAAAGTGAGGTATCTAAGATTTTATTTTCCTTTTTCTGTTGGTTGTGTTCCGGGCACAGCTTGATTGATACTGCATGAAGTGCTTTATTTAAAATAGATATGAAGGATTGATAACAGCTCAGAATTTGTAATGAAACCTTTGTGATCGGCTGATGAGGTATGTACCTGGTAATGAATGGGGATTGATGACTCTGATCATGAGGAGGGGAGATAATTAGATATGTTTTTATTTAGCAGCTTCTTGTCAGAAACATTTCAATTCTAATTTCTAATTAGTGGATAACCCCTACTGTATTTCGAAATTTTGCGGCGGTATCATGATTATACTGTCGTAAATTATTTTGATTAACCAATCAAATGCTGTGTTACATCTAAAATGGATTACAATATTTCTTGATGGTTACTGAGGCAGGGTATTACCAAAAGAAAACACCATAAAATGGACATATTCTTATATGTACCAGGTAAAACACTTTATTCAATAGGCTGTTTTTCACAAAGATAAAAAACATTATTTTTTTCTGTTTTCATTGTATCTACACTTGTAAGAGCATGATTTTTAGAAACTTAAGTCACGTTTGTCTGAGCCATTATTTTTAACCTGGTAAAGATGTCTTGATGAAACTTGAAGTATATCAGCATCACCCAAAGCTACCAGCATCACCTAAATAAGATATAAAGCAATGTGCTATAAAGTCTTTCATCTCAGGGTTAAAGGTGAAATAGGCCATAAATGATTTTAATGATTATATATATACATCTGAACCTTACAATTGAAGATGGCGACACACCTAACGTGTTGAAACATGTTATTAGGACCCTCGTACCGCTAACAAAAACTGTAAATAAGTATTGTAAACTGTTTTATCTGACATGACTATAGCTTTAATAAATCATTTCTGAAAAGAAAACCATACATTGTGATACTTTTATGAGAAGTTATCAAGGTGAAATAAACAAAATATAATTAACAACAGAGTTCTGAGAGTGAAAACATAAGTGGGGCTTGATCAGGATTCAAACCCACGACTTCAGATTGATGTACTATCGCACTAACCAATTGATGAACTACCTGGTCAATGGAAGAGTTGTGTTCCATAACTGTGCTTAAGTTATATCCGAACATAAGTTAAGGGGAGGTTACTGTAGTATTTGGGAAAACCATAGTGCAGTGGGGCAGGGATGGAAATTAAGGGGAAGTTACGGTAGTATATAGGGAAAACTACAGTGCAGTGGGGCAGGGATGGAAATTAAGGGGAAGTTACTGTAGTATATAGGGAAAACCACAGTGCAGTGGGACAGGGATGGAAGTTAAGGGGAGGTTACTTTAGTATATAGGGAAAACCATAGTTGTAGTGGGACAGGGATGGAAATTAAGGGGAGGTTACTGTATATAGGGAAAACCACAGTGTAGTGGGACAGGGATACTTAAGATTGTGATGGGGAGGTTACTGTATATAGGGAAAACCATAGTTGTAGTGGGACAGGGATGGAAATTAAGGGGAGGTTACTGTATATAGGGAAAACCACAATGCAATGAGACAGGGATCCTTAACATTGCAATACAAATGGCTGATCACCTTCATGTAGGTGTTATCCAGGCACCTTAACTATGAGTTGCAATGGAAGAGAACAATTTCTCTCATTTCCCTGTGTGTAAGATAGAGCTGTCCAGGGTAAGAAAGGGATGTTGGAAATTTCTACCTTACACCCCATTTCAAGTGCTGTGACGTCACAATGGCAAAACAATGACGTGACGTCACAAATTTAGAACTCGCCGATGCTGCAATGCGAAAAAGGCGACATGATGAAATTAAAACCTTTTATTATATACATTTACCGTACACGTTAAAAAGATGTGATTAATTTTTCTGCACAAACATTGTTTGCAAATATGGGACATGCTTAATCTGGCTGACTGATTCGTTTTTCGTCTTAAAAGCTCAGGAGAAAAATTGATACTTTCAAAATGGTGGCCAGTCCAAACGCATTTTCATGGTGTCTGGGCTTATTCTGGTGGTTGGAATGAGAGAAAAATAGTCTTTCATGCCCAAGGGTGTAGGATAGGGATATTCAACCCTCGGGATTTTCAAATTTGGCAAAACCCTCGGTAAAGCCTTGGGTTTTACCAAATTTGAAAACCCCTCGAGTGGAATGTCCCTATCCTACACCCCTGGGCATGAAAGAGTCTTATAGCATTACCCAGGGAAGGTGTGCAGTTTATCACAGTTACATGCATTTTAATTGGTACAACGAAACAGAGTTCAACTATAATTTTTTAAATGTCTTTTAAAAAGGACAAGGCAGATCTCAACTTTAAATTTTATTCAAGATTCAACCAGTCTTCACAGCACGGAATGGAGAACATTTGACTCAATGTAAAGTAATTGTCATTTATTTAATAAATGTATTATCCTCCTTTCTCAATACAGAATGTCATTTAGGACAAATGTTTTGGTATTTTGATATTTAATATTCTGAGGGTTTTTTCATCAGATCACAGAATATTATATTTCATAGTTATAAATCATGGGAACTTAATATAAAAGCATGCCAGACCCAGAACCACAATGAAAAGCAGGAGTAGAATCAGATGTAGGTTTGTCATGCGAGTCTATTCCCATGTTTGTTTATAGTACGTGACCAGGGCAAGCCTATCAAATCTCCATTATGTCAAATAATTGAAATGTTTTAAATTCAAACATTAGATTTTTTACAATGATAACTTATTATTTGTACTAAAAAAATAACGTATGAAAATAAAATATAAAAATTGACTGTGCGTTACTTATTTATGGTTGAAAGAATGATTGGTATTTTGAGTAATGTTATATAGAATGACTTTATTCATTACCTCACGTACACAAAAAAAGAATTTGAAATGGAATATCATTGTAAATTTTGATATAATTCAGGTGCATGGATCTCACTTTTATTTTATCCAATACTTTTATAAGGAAAGATATTTGAGATGCCAAAGAAAGCTTTAGTCACAAATGGATTTTAGATGAAATTTAAATAAACAAAATATGGAAATAAAAAGAATTTATTTTCCTGTAGCTAGTGTGAGAATGGACATAAAAGCTTTATGTAAGAAAATAATTTGTTAGGGGTTTATTTATAAAATCAGCTGCTAATGACCTACAAACAAAGCGAGAGACATACAGACAAAGGGATTTTTAATTCAATTTGAAATGGAACATCCCTGTTGCAAGGAAATTCAATACAACAGATAAGAAAAGTTTGTCATTGCCATACCCCCTCCCCCAAACAAACACACTCTGGACAGAGGGGTACTTGGGCCAATTATAGAGTTCATGTTTAAAAGACTACTCCCTTTGTATGATTAAAGAGATTTTAACCATATTTGAAATGTAGCATCCATGTAAATGGGATTTAATGTTATATAATGTATAAGTGAAGATTATTTTTACCCTTTCCACTGCCCAACATACCCATGGAAGGTGGTACAGGGCCTCTTGTGTCTTTTGGGTCAAAGACTTTGTTAAAGGAGGGAGGAATGTAGCAGAACTGGACTTGATTGGTCACAAGCGATCAGGTAGCAGCTCAGTTGATTAGATCATCTAGATAGTGTTTAGAGGGTCCCGGGTTCGAACCCCAGTTTGGTCATGTATTTTTCTCTCCATTCTCTCCAGTAACACCCACATAAAACCTATATAATTAAAATACGGTATTGATGTTGATGATGATGATATTATGATGACAATGAAAATGATTGTGATAATGCTAAATCCATGTCCGTGTGTGTATATATGTGAGAATGCGTGAATGTCCTGTTTATGTATATGTATATGTAATGAAAAACTTGGAAAAATAAAACCATTACTAAAAAAAACCCACGGTATTGAGTAAAAATGTTTTGTTTGTACCCTGATAAGCATCTATGTGTGGCAGATTTTAATTGTACATAGGATTATGGTCGCCTTCTAACTTCGAGCTAGAGGGAATTTCCCTTGGACAACTAAATCAGCCAATCAGCAAGTGTTTCAAACAATTGTAATTCTTACCTAAAACTTGTTCCGGGTGAATACAGTGCCTCTGAGTTTTTAAATAGGTAATTGTTGATGTATTATACAATTGAATGAAATCTACAGATATTTAACTTTACAAAAATGTATACTTTTGGTAGATATGGAGTCAAATATCAGGGGGTGTTCCTGTCCCACTTCACGGGTTTGGCTTGTAACCCACCAATTGTCAAAAGTAGACGCCTGTAACACTCTAATATGCCACTAAACCCGCCAGAAAAGGACTTTTGAAGCCTTTGTCAGGTATGTATCTGTGAATCTAGACAGTTGTCACTGGTTTTGAACTTCAAATATTAACGCTATTACTGTAATTATTAGTAAATTATTTAGTTGTGTGAGTCTGCTCAGTGGTAGATCTTAGAGTGAGTTCGATCCCAGGTGAAATCACACTACTCTCTTTCCTCTTACAATTGAAAAAGTTGAAGTTACTTATACGACTTCAAAACTTAACTTAAGATGATGGACAATAATTTATTTTGGATTTGATGCAAAACAGTAGCAGAAACTATCTATTTTGCACGATCATGTGTCGTGTTAGTTCAAAAGAACAGATGATGAATTACCCACAATGGATCACCTAACCATCATTTTATTCTTTCATTCAAAATTCAGAGGATGAATTATCATTAATGGTGGTATATAGATGAGTGTTCTTACTAACGAAATTAATACCTGGGGTTCACGGGAGAACACTCCTACATCATTAGGTAGCGTTTCCGGCTTTTCCAAATAACAATAGTCTCAAAACAAATCACGGCTTGAATTTTGCAATATTTTCAAATCAACAAATCTTTGTTTGCATTGTATTTAAGTATTGCTATAGTCCCAAGATTATTCCTATCGTCCAAAACAGAAGGAGTAGACCTCACACACTCCATTTTCTAATTTTTTAACAATGAACAAATTACTACTTCTTGAGTCATCTGTTGACAAAAAATGTTGCATGACTATGCAATCAAATGCTACATCATTGTAAAATATGAACTTTTAACATGTTTAACTCCATCTACCCCTGAAGACATATTTGACCCTTCCAATTCAAGGGTTGGAAGAGTTCATTATGAAATTTCAGAGGTGAATGACTTACGGATTTAGAAGTATATTTGTGACAAGTGATCCGTTTTAGGTCCTCACTCCTTATTCCTTTTGAGGGTTTGCTACTGAATTTGGTAACAACAGATATGGGAAATGGTGTTAAATTGTATTAAATGCATTCATATAGGCAAATTGAATTGTAGTATTGAAAATCAAGACTTGCGTCCAACTCTAATTTTTTTTGCATTTTTTTAGTATATCTCAAAAATTCTGGCTTAGGATTCGCTGATACATGTAAACAGACAGAAAACTTCAAGCAGATGTCTTAGTTGAAAGGACAACAGTCCAAAGATTTCCAAATATGACCCTATTACATGAAATGTGTGTAAAATGTGGGGGTGGGTGTGCAGGTTTATCAATATAACTCTCAAGTGTCTGGTATAATAAGGTTCCTGTGTATACTTAAAGCTTACATAGTTAATGTAGGAGACAAAGTCACGGACCCTATAAAGTTCACACATCCACATAGGCAACAGTGTCTACACATCAACTCAACTATGCTCCAGTCAATATTTGTTTACAATCAACAGCTTCGGGAATTTACGAACTGTAAATAACAGATAAACTATGTATCTTCTGTAAACTTGAAAATTATTTGAGAACATGTCCAGCTAGGCTTGCTATTCCATCACTTTAAGGTAAATATTTCATGCTGTGTCCAGTGACCAGTTTTATTGCAATTTGTCGAGGAGATAAATTATAATACATATTTAGTGAGGGTACCTGTGGATAGGTGCCGAGCGTTATCAATGTACTCACGGATGTCAGGTGCCCCGACACATATTTACTACCTATAAATACAGGTGATTTATAACATTAACAGGTATGTCGTTAAAATACAGGTATGTAGTTATGTACTGAGTTGAGCTATTTACCCAGAGTGGACTGTAACAATAGTAAATGTGTCTTGTGTGAGAACATCTCAGTGGGACACTACTTAATGGGAAATTTTCATGCATTTAGCATGTTTAGAATGCTTTTCTTATAGTATACTTACCAACAGACAGTAATGCCTCATTATAATGTCCCTCATCATTTTGACCACTTCACTTTGCCGACCTGTTCGGTCCCCTTTTCCATTTCCTGTTTCGGGTACATCTTGTAAGGGACATTGTTAAGCCTTTTCCTTCATGTCCATCAATTCATTTTTAGCCCACCATCATCTGATGGTGGGCTATTCAAATCGCCCTGCGTCCGTGGTCCGTGGTCCGCCGTCCGCCATCTGACCTTAAACAACTGTTATCGCTATTTCTCAGGAAGTATCAGGGGGATCTTTCTCAAATTTTATATGTAGATTCCCCTTGGTCCCTAGTTGTGCAGGGCAACTTTTGAAACTGATCGGATAAACAACATGGCCGACAGACAGCCATCTTGGATTTTGATATGAAGGTTTGTTTTCATTATTTCTCAGGAAGTATTAAAGGGATCTTTCTCAAATTTTATATGTAGGTTCCCCTTGGTCCCTAGCTAGTTGTGCAGGGCAATTTTTGAGACTGATCGGATAAAAAAAATGGCCAATAGGCAGCCATCTTCGATTTTGACAGTGAAGGTTTGCTATGGCTATTTCTCAGGAAGTGCAAAAGTGATCTTTCTCAAATTTTGTATGTAAGTTCCCCTTGGTCTGTAGTTGTGCAGGTTGACTTTTGGGACTGATCAGTTAAAAAAAAATGGCCGACAGGCAGCCACCTTGGGTTTTGACATTAAAGGTTTGTTATCATTATATATTATCGTGTTTAGTCTGCACTAAACCCACTATTTCTCAGGAAGTACTGGAGGGATCTTTCTCAAGTTTGTTATGTAGGCTCCCCTAGGTCTGTAGTTGTGAATGTTTAGTTTTGAGACTGATCAAATAAACAAAATGGCCAACAGGCTACCATCTTGGATTGTGACATTGAAGGTTTGTTAACCCTATTTCTCAGGAAGTACTGGAGGAATCTTTCTTAAATTTGATATGCTGGTTTTCCCTTGTCGTTACCTTGTTGTGCAGGTTAACTATTGAGACTGATCAGATAAACAAAATGGCCAACAGGCAGCCAACTTGGATTTTGAAATATCGCTGTTTCTCAATAAGTAGTGGAGAGATCTTTCTCAAATCTTATATGTAGGTTCCCCTAGGTCCTCAGTTGTGCATATTTACTTTTGAGACTGATCAGATAAACAAAATGGCAGACAGGCTTCGATTTTTGACATTGAACGTTTGTTAGTACTATTTCTCAGGAATAACTTTCCTCTTCCAACTTTCCTAAATTTGATATGTAGGTTCCCTTTGATCCCTTGTTGTGCATGTTATATTTTGAGACTGATCATAAAAACAAAATGGCTAAAGGAAGAACTAAACACATATTTCTCATATTGCAATGATCAATTCTATTTCTTTCACATTAAGTACTGTACTAGTAAATATGTGAAATGACAAACTCACTTTGAAGGTAGTCTTTTATACACAGCAGTACTAAGTTTAGATCAAAAGTTACCTCAAGGTGCATTTACTGCTAATTACATGACTCGATCAAACAGATTAGTGAAAAGAAGAGAAAAGATTGAACTGACAAAGAACTAATGAAGATGTTACAATGGTGGGCGCCAAGATCCCTCTGGGATCTCTTGTTTCAACTTGGCGTTTAACTCTATTACTCTAAAATGTACTGAAAGTGAAACAGTTGTAACGTAACAGGAGCAGAAAAATGCATGGCCAGACTGGGGTTCAAACCGGGACCCTCTGAACTATAGACGGATGCTTTACCAATTGAGCTACCTGGTCGCCAACGATATACCCAGTCTAGTTCCGCTACATTCCTCTTTTTGTTCTAAGACTTCGCCCCGAAAGTAAACTATTTACAACCTAAGTTTGGGTATCTCCTTGTCAAGTATTCACCCAGTACTTGAAACAAGGCTTGGTTACCCGCACCAGATTTAACAGGAGTGGGAAAATGCACAACTAGACCGAGGTTTGAACCTGGGACCCCCTGAACTCTAGACCAATGCTCTACCAAGTTAGCTACCTGGTGGCCAACGATCGACCCAGTCCAGTTCCACTACACAGTAATCAAACTTTACATCTGGATTGCGCTTGAGTAGTACTACACTAGTGTATCAAATGTAGGTCACTGTGATCTATATTTGCCACTTCATTAACTAGCTCAGCATCTGCAATACCCCTGGTACATACAGATACTAATGCCAAATTTGAAGTTGAGCAAAGTCTTTGAAACAGAATCAATTGCATACCATACTCTAATTGCCCAGTTTAACAAATCTTTACAATCACCACTTTTAATTTGAAATAAAATACAATGATGAGTATATTGTTTGCCCATTTGTGATGACTGGGTCACAATCTAGCCAATCTTGACCAAGTCAATTTCTGCTGACAGGACAGATTCATAAATAGATAAAATCCATGTAAAATTCTCTTGGTTTTGAAATGAAATTCTGGACTATATGTTGTGTTGTTTCAGTCCTGGACTTTATGTTGTGCTATTTCAGTCCTGTAATCGTGGACTTTATGTTGTGATATTTCAGTCCTGATATCCTGTACTTTATGTTGTGAAATTTCAGTCCTGACATCCTGGACTTTATGTTGTGTTGTTACAGTCCTATTATCCTGGACTTTATGTTGTATTATTTCAGTCCTGTTATTCTGGACTTCATGTTGTGTTATTTCAGTCCTGTTATCCCAGACTTTATGTTGTGTTGTTTCAGTCCTGTTATCCTGGACTTTATGTTGTGTTGTTTCAGTCCTGTTATCCTGGACTTTATGTTGTGCTATTTCAGTCCTGTAATCGTGGACTTTATGTTGTGCTATTTCAGTCCTGTTATCCTGGACTTCATGTTGTGTTATTTCAGTCCTGTTATCCTTGACTTTATGTTGAGTTGTTTCAGTCCTGTTATCCTGGACTTTATGTTGTGTTATTTCAGTCCTGTTATCCTGGACTTCATGTTGTGTTATTTCAGACCTGTTATCCTGGACTTTATGTTGTATAGTTTCAGTCCTGTTATCCTGGACTTTTTGTTGTGTTATTTAAGTCCTGTTATCCTGGACTTCATGTTGTGTTATTTCAGACCTGTTATCCTGGACTTCATGTTGTGTTATTTCAGACTTGTTATCCTGGACTTCATGTTGTGTTATTTCAGTCCTGTTATTCTGG